GGCTATAAAAATAAGTTCATGAGAAGATTTTGTGCAAGGAAGTTCTGCTGAAGCTGGTTTATGTTAGGAAAACTGGAGGGCTGATGTGAAATAGCATGGCAGGGAGTTCTTTGCTAGAAGATGTTGAACTTTTCTGTGTGTTCCTTTCTGAACTTGCTGTTTTGGGGGAAAGAGAATAATGCCCATGTGCATGGGAAAAATACAGCCCCTCTTTGGCAGTACTTTCTCAGTAGCAATGGCTGTCCTGTGTGCTGTAGGAGCAAAAAGAGCTGGAGAGGAAATGTGTGTCTATCAGTAGAGATGAGTAATGGCTAAATTCTAGGTTTGCAGTTTATTTGGTGGTCTCAAAAACTCCTGTTTGGTTCCGAGGTATTTTAAGAGTTGGCAAAAGGGCTTCGTTTTTTCACATATGTATGTATAAACAACAATTTTTAATGGCCCAGTGAATGGCAGGTCCCCTCAGACTAACAAAGATGCATTAAGAATTCCATTTGCCTGGGAAAAAGGTGTTTGAGGTGGAGATTCAATCATCATTCAATCATCAATCACCCCTCCTTGTTTCTTCTAGCTCCAGGAATTTTCTTGGTAGTACTCCAACCAGGAGAATGAATCCGTGATTAAGACAGTCTCCTGGCAGATAAGAGAACAGAAATTCTTCCTAATCTCTGATTTTTATGAGTGCCTAAAAGCTGAGTCTACAAGTACATCTGAAAGAAGTGCACTGTCATGTCTGAGATTTTCAGTGTATGATATGTCTCACAAGGGGCTCTTCCAGGCCTTTGAAGTAGCTGGAGGAGGGGAGTTTGATTGGTTTCACATGTTCATGCCAAATCTCATGGTTAGCAGAACTTGGGGTTATGAGATACTGCAGTATACATATTATGGAACACTGTAAATAATTGTCTGAACAGTTTTTTTTGCCTGTGGCTTTTCAGCTTGGGATTGAATTTCCTTCTGTTCCCTGGCAAGTTCTGCAGACCGCCTCTTTTTCACAAGCACCTCATCTAATCTTAGTGATCTTTTTCTCCTGGAGGAGCAGTGCTATGTGTTGCACTTTTGAATGGCTGTGAGACTCTTCCCTGCTTGCCAAAACAGTTTAAAATTCACCTATGGGTGAACAAGCACAAACAAATAAGATGCCTTGTTACCTTGTGTCATTTCTTTAGGAAAGTAAACTTAAAAAAGAGAAAAAAGCCCAGAACACAGGTTAGAAAATTAAACTCCAAGAAATTTTGAAATGCATGGATGTAAATTGTTCAGATGATGCCAGAATTTGATCTGAATTGGCCCCTTTTCTTACTATTGGACATGGTGAAAGGAAGTGCATACACATTTGTGCACTTCAGTTGGTTATCTGTGTAACAGCAAGGTACATTTGGTGTTCTCTCAGAGGCTTCAAATTACATTGCAAATATCATAGCACTCACATACCTTGTGTGAATACACAGAAGTACAAGGATAGTGTCTTTCATGTGGATGAACTAGATCAGCCTGGAGTCCAAGGTATTTGACTAATTCCTAAATACATGGACTTTTGCCAGTGCTGCTGAGGAGGATGCTGCTGGCTGAGTACCCAGCCTTGCCTGTACTCTAGTGAGTCTAGAACAAGACTTCTGTATGGAAAATTTCAGCTCCAATGTAACCTGAGCAGATCTAAGCACCTGAAAACAAGGGCATAAAATCCTGGATTGGAAGGGATCTTCATCTAGTTCCAACCTTCCTTTAGCTGACAGAAGCTCCTGTAACTAGACCAGGTTGCTCCAAGCTCCATTCAGACTGGCTTTGAACTCTCTCAGGGGTAGGGCATCCACAGCCTCTTTGGGCCAACTCTTGCAGTGCCTCACCACCCTCACAGCAAAGAATTTTTTTCCTAGTATCTCATTTGAATCTACTGTCTTTCAGTTTGAAGCCATTCCTCCATGTTCTGTTACTACAGCTCTTGTAAAATATCCCTTTCCATGGTTTTTGTAGGCTCCCTTCAGGTACTGGAAGGCTGCAATTAGGTCACCCCAAAGCCTTCTCTTTTCCAGGCTGAACAAACACAATTGTCTCAGCCTTTCCTTGCAGGAGAGGTGCTCTGGCCATCTAACCATCATGGTGGCTTCCTCTGGACTCAGTCCAACAGGTCAGTGTCCTTCCCTTGCTGGGGACCCAGCACTGCAGGTGGGGTGTCACCAGAGCAGAGGGACAGCATCACTTCCCTCTCCTGCTGGCCACGCTGCTTTGGATGCAGGCCAGGACACAGCTGCCTTTCTGTGCTGCAGGTGCACATGGCCAGGCTGTGTCCAGCCTCTCATCCGCCTGCACCCCCAGGTTCTCCTCAGCAGGGCTGTTCTCAGTCCCTTCATCCCCAGCCTGTATTGATAATGGGGGGTTGCCCCAACTCAAGTGTAGTACCGTGTACTTATTAAACCTCATGAGATTCCCATGGACCCACTTGTCCTAAAGGAGAAAGGTGGCAGACTTGCCTGTCATTGTGGCTGCTCATTCTCTCATCTGGCCATGGAAGTATTGTTCCATGGATTCCCTGGAGCTGAAAACTGCAGTGGAACAGTGAGCTGGAAACAGCTTGTTTTCTCCAAAGATATAGGTCAGTTAAAAACTGGTGTGAGTTAGCTTGAGTGAACTTCAAAGATCTCTCCCCCAGCCCCACCAGTATCAGACATATAATTTAGTTAGTAGTGAAAATGGGATGATGTTTTCTAAAATGTCACTTGGTGGGAAAAAATACCATGTAGTGCTTCTGTAAAGGAGTCTATTTTTAAAACAAAACTTGCACTTCATTAGTTTGAAAAGTAGTCTGTAGATAAGAGACATATTTTCAAATGCCAGCAGACCTTAATCAAGCGTAGAACTTTAGGTTTTATTTAGGGCCAGCTGATTCACTGACAGAAAAACACTGTGGTATTTTGCACACAAACCAATCGAGAACCAAGCCTAGAGCTGAGCATCAGAGTATTGGTACACTGAGGGATGCTGTAGTTGAACAAGTATTTTCTTAAAGGGCAGTTGGTTTCAGCATCTCTGCTTCATGCTGTTCCTCAAGTTTTGGTGCTGCAGTTCTTCCTGCAAATGTTTAATCATGTGAACTAAAAGTGCCTTGGTAGAGTGGGGGGGAAAAGTGGTGTTTTTTTAAACTGAGCCTGCTTTCCAGTGTGGTTTACTGTCTAAGCCCAGTAGTCAAGCCAGTCTGTCAAGACACAGGACAGGATAAAAAGAGGTACTGAGTTTACTTAACCCCACAACAGAGGGACTGTCTGGAATGAGGTGTCTGTGGGCTGGTGTGTCCCTGTCAGGTTGCAGGTGTCAAGGCAGGACTTTCCTTCTGCTGTACTGCTTTAGATCTGTCCACACTCGTAAATTGGAGAAATACTGAAGCAGAAGAGCAGTTCAGCTTCACCTGCCATTTCAGCTTACTCTGGCATCCAGATTTCCTTGACTTGACTCCTTGGAAGGCAGGAAGGTCCTCGTTTTAAAATTTTGCCTTGTAGCACAACAACTGGAGTGCTTCTGTTGCCTATGCAGACCTCTTGTCTGTTTTTGAATAGTTTGTTTTAATGAACCTCTTGGACTGTGTACAGTGTGTATTTTTTTGTTTTAATGAGGTATTTGCCTCGCAGCTCGGGAGTTGTGTCTGTAGCTGTTACCTGCTCAAGCTGTGGGAATCTGTTGGGTTTCATGGGGATTTTGCTCTAGAGACCATGCAGAAGCCAGGGTTTTGGCCACTCTGCTTTTTTCTTGCCCAGCCTGCAGCTGTGATCCCAGTTTGCTGGCTGACTGTGAGCAGTGGATAGCCAGAAGGCACAAAATCCTGAAATCCCTCTGCTGCATGATGGGAGATGTGCCAGTGGACAGAATTACACTCACTTGCTTCATACTGCCCAGGCAAACGCTCTTTTAAAGAAACTTATTTTAAGCAAAGCTAGACAGTAAAATGGCTTTCTAGAAACCAGAATGCAGAGCACTGATCCGACTGCAGGAGACTTTTGTATTTGGGGAAGGGGGAGGCTTGCCATTGCCATCACATTTGTGTGCTGTCACCCAAATGCCAGCCAGCTTTTCTCCAGCCTCATCTGACCATAGGGCAGGAGCCAGACTTGTCTGTCAACTCCTCAGAGCGGGACTGCAAATGCATTCCATGAATAAGTTGTTTAGGAGTGCTCTCTCTTTATTTAATAAAACAAAACACTGATCACATGTACTGTGAAATAGCTCAAATGGAGGTAGCACAAAATGCTGCAGTAAAGACGCAGCACTTTTTTGGAGTGCTTCAGTATTAGTGATGGCAGTGAGAATAAGCAGAATGAGCTCTAGTCATACATCCAGTGTCTTGTGTAATCACCTCAGAGTACCACCCAAGTCCAATCACAGCACTCTGCCAGCGTCATGGAGAACGTGGACTTTTAAGATTCCTTCATTCCTATTGTTAAACTAAAACATGGAAACCATTCAGTAAGGGTTTGAAAACCCAGTTTCACGGGTTTGTCACACAGGTACTAGCTGACCTTCTAACCCTGGCATATATATAAATATATGTGGTCACATGATGCAGATAAAACAACATGTATGACTATAGTTGAATATTAAGATTGTGCTCTCATATTCTGTGCAGCAGTAAAATACTAGAAATATAGATGATTCCTAGAATCTGCCTAAAAACTGTCTTGATATAGTTGATATGAACTAGACAGAACTACTGAGTTGAGTGAGATTTTTGCTGTTGCAGAAACTGTTCTCTGGCTTGAGCCACCTCAAGAACCTTACTGAAACAGGCTGGATTTACCTGGGGGAGTTTCTGTTGGTTTATTCTGGTTCTCTTAATAGCAGTAGAGTTGAAGAGGTGACATTTTGCCTCTTCACTTTGCTGCTTTTATTACTCAACCTTTATTAGAGACTGTAGAGACACATACATATTTTTTTCCCTGGACAATTCTTGAGCAGATATTCTGGGTTATGCCAATAATTTTTAATTCTCTGCCATTTGTTTTTACTCTTTGCAGTTCTTGTGTGGTTGGTGAAAATAAGCCTACGCTGCAGGAATGCAAGAGGAGCAACAGCCTGAGGTAGGGCTTGGAGATGAAGTTTGTATCTCAGTACAATTGCAGGGAAGATCAAGAGTGAATCAGCCAGGTTCTTCCACTTATTTTGAGCAAGTTCTGCAAAGTCTTAAGACTGAGAATGCCGGTGTGAGACCCCTTTTAAAATGGGAATGGAGAGCTGAATGCTATTTTTCTTGATACATTTAGGTTCTTTTCAGGTTCTCTTTCCCTCCAGTTGCAAAAGCTAAAATGGATCTTTTCTATTATTCTACTTGCAAGTGAGGAATTGCATAAAATCGCTTAACCTATGAGATTAAACCTTTAGGAGGAAAAAGGTTTTGTGAGTAAATTACAGAAATTGATTATATACAAATAATCTCATTGTACACAGCTGAAGTTCCTTGCCACATTAAACTGAGATTCTTTTTCTATCCTTTCTGTTCCTTTCCTTCTTCTTTCATATCCATGTATCTCAAAACCTTTTTCTGGTATAATAGGTGAAACTCAGGAAATTTTTATTTTATGAAGTATAAGAATGTCAGTTCTTTTGTCCTGTTAATAAAAAAAAGGACAACAGATTCCTAACATGGTGGCTTAGTGCTGTGCTCATTGCAGTGTTGTGATGTTGTGATGACAAAGCCAGCACAAGTGATAGGATTAATTCCATATGTTACAGATGGATAAATTTTTCCAAAATATTGTTGTGACTAGACTTAACGTATGCAAGCAGTAGTCAAGCCATATGTTGTGATCAAAGGCTGAGCTGGTGTTAAATTAGATTTGTGAATGTAATTGCAATTTGCAGTGTAATTGCAGTTTGCAGTTGTCAATGAACAGACTTCTGCTTTGTAGTGAAAGGATGATGTGTTGCTGTGACTATTTTAAACTTTGCATTATAAAGCTCTTGTATGTTTTGGGTTTAGTCCATGAAATTTATCATAAATTTTTCCTTGCCTTCAGTGGGGCCATGGTAAGACTCAGGATTTATTTTCTCACAATTCCTGTTTGGCATTATGGAATGCAAGAAGAAAATACTTACTCTTATAGAAAGCTCTTAACATTTGGGTGTGCTTTGTACAGCCTTGCTTTAAACCTTACCAGGTTAAGTGCAAAATACATAAACCAGTCATTTTAGCTAAAAAGCTGATATACATCAGGAGAGGTTGGCTGCCTGCTTGCTGACTCATTAATATTGTCTTTCCTTTGGAAAGTACTTAAATGGTGATGGATTCTCATCCTGTCTCTAACTTTTTGACTTGGTGTTGTTCAGAAATTCCAAATTCTTCCAATAATCATCCTCATTAAACTTTGAATTAAGGTAGTTGCCTAAAGGTAGTTTATAATTTAGCTTTCCCTTACTTCTGAGTCTATTCTGCACTAACTGTGCCTCTCTTGCTTGAATGACATTGGCTGAATAACTGGAATTATTTAAATTCTATGCACAGGTTATAAAACTTGCTATTTAATTAAAAATCAGACAGGTTTTTGTTAGCCAAAGACCTGTATCACATACTTCTAGGGATAATATTGAAGAGTCAATCTTTGTGAATCTTTTCAATTGCCTTCTGTTCCTTTAGAGAGCAAAGTTCTGCAGGTGCCTTGTATCTTTGATTTCTGATAGGTATAAAGTCAACATGTGCATGAATTTTGTAAGATTTGATGTGCATATTGTGTAATTGCCTTATTCCAAGAAATACTTGGCCTGACTCTTCTAGAATGGATGTGTTTAGTCTTGTGAGTACTGATTAACTTTGTCAGACTCCTGACAGACTAATGCTGACTGGTAGTTGAGTCAAATGGTATAAAATAATCAGTGCACATTTTAGTTTTCAACACAAAGTGCTGTAGTACTGTAGTAATGTTAGAGATAAATTTGTTCTTTTTATCCAGAATCCCATTTATTTTAAAACTCTGTGTCAGGTATAAATCTTATCTCTTAAAATAGGCATGAAGTAGTCCATTTTTATCTATCTCATACTCAGGCAGCTAGGAAAAAGTAGTTGTAAAATCACAGATATTTTGAACTGTGACACTGCTTGAATTATTTACTTGAATATTATTGGTAGGTTCAAATTGAGTAAACTCACAAAGGAAAAGATATATTGAAACATTTCATTATAATTCCCAGCCTCCTTTTGAATTTGTTTCATACAGGCTGCTGCAGATCCAATGTCGTCCTCTGATGCACCAGGAGATGGCCCAAAGGGAGCACCAAGTATATCACAGAATATCTGTATGTTTCTGGTTGGGCTGGGGAGGGTGATCTTACTGGAAGGGGTATTCAGCTAAATGTCCTTGCCTTTGCCTTACCTAAAAAAGACAGGGCTGTTGGCAAAAAAAGGAGATGCTAATGAAGACATAGCTGATTTAATCTGTTCTTGATTTGTTTCAAGGCCCAGTTGTGTAAATCAAATTGAGAAAGAGCAATGACATGTAGATTGTCAGTTTGCTGATCCCATACTTTCAAAAGTAAATATTTTTAGATTTAATAGGTACACTCAGCTATTGTTTTAAGCTTAGCTATTGCTTTCTAAGCCAGTGATGCATGAGTATATGTTTGCTTTGACAGTCTGGCATCTAGTGATACAATGGTGATGAGTTGTCCCAAATGGAAAGCTTTGCCCATGCTAGCATGATAATGTTTTGGCAAGACTGCAGGATGTGGCAAGTATTCCAACCAAAACTGTCTTGTGAAGCCCAGGAAGAGTATCTTTTCTTACCTGTTATTGGCAGGATCAGATAATTACAGGCATTTCTCAAGAGGAAAAAAAACAAAGGCTTCTTAGAATTTGCTTTATCTGTATTGATACACTGTTATTATATTAGTGTATCCGGTGCTGATTTGTAACAATAGGAGCATTCAGATTGTGCTTTCTGGCAAATAATAGGCTCTGAACCACCTTAGGGAAAATTAGTGTGTAACAATAACACTGCTGAATAATTCCTAGGGATCTCAGCTTTCATGGGAGCAAACATAGCCTTGACTAAAGCTATGCAGACCTAAAGAAGCAGATTAATTTTTTATGTGGCTTTTTTTCCAGGTATAGAAGTTGGTTCAATAAAAAACATAGCTGCTCCTGAGGATGTTTTCCTTAATCGTGTCCTTAAATTATAACATCTGGTGCTGTACCACTATCACATTTTTTCTTCACGTGAAACATTATTCAGTCCAGTACTGAGTATATGTGTGAGGTGAAAGCTTGAAAAGTAAATAGAAATTACACCCTTTAAGGATTACCAAATGTGTAGAAACCACTTTCAGTTGGGGGAATCTGAATCATAAATGGCTCTGGGCTAGGAAAGTATTTGAGGCAGGTATTACACACACTTCCCCATGTATTATGTTCTCCATTAGGCATCCGCTTTTGACCCTAGTGGGAGGTGGGATATTTGCTTAGGTGGGTTTTTCTTCATCTGCTATGGCTGCTTTTATAATTATGTGACTGAGAGGGCTACAAATGCAACAGCCTTACCTCTACTTCCTTTTTCAGTCATGCTTTTCTTACCTCCTCCTCAGCATCACCATCTGTTTTGGCAGCAACATTTTCATAGCTCAGACTGTACTGATTGCATCAGACCATGTTCTTGGGTATTGACCATGAAGTAGCAGGTTGCTCAAATGCTAAGAAGGATGTTGAAGGGTTGCTTTTGGTTTTTGGGTTTGGGTTTTCTCTTTTGTTTGGTTGGTTTTCTCCTAATTTGGTGGGATTTTTGTTTGGTTGGTTTCGGTTTGGGGTTGGTTTTTTTTTTTTTTTTTACATAAAGTCTTACAAGATTAGTATTTGTGGGACACAGCTGGGGCCAGAGCCACACAGCTAAAGCAGATTCAGAAAGTGAATATGTGGTAGGAGGCTGTAATTTATCTGCATCTTTGACATCCTGCCTACAAACTGTTCACTAATCTTTTTTTTTTTTTTGTTCCCCTGGGCTTATGATCCTATTCCAGGCTTCTGGAGACCACTTGAGACTTCTGCTAACTTGTGCAGCAGCTTGCCAGAGAAAGAGAGTTGGTTGGAAACAAAACTCTGCTTTCCTGCTTGATATTTTTTCCCTAAGATGCCTTACAGCTTTAAGATGACTCATTCAAAACAACTTTAATTTCTCATTGATAAAGAGTTAAAGCTTGTGTGTCAGTCAGTGAGGCTACCTGGCAATGAGCATCTGTGACGAAGCTGATAGATCCTCCTGTTTTCCCTACAGGAAGCTTTACACAGAGAAGCTAAATTCACTTTGTACCATTTTGACCTTAAATAGTTGTTGAATCTAGGGAAGAATGAATGAATTCCTGACCTAAATATCTCTTGAGGTTTAATTTTCCTTTGTGTACTGATCCCTGGTGTGTTAATCCCAGAAAAGGCTAAGGTTGGTACTGTAGGTATCCTATATGTGCCAATATGTGGAGGTGACTTTGCCATCATATTCACACCAGTGTCCATGTGTTGCTATGGCTTATATAGATAAGAATCCCAAAATGGAACACTTTGGGTTTAGAATTTAAAAAATGCTTTTTTTTTTCTTTTTCTCTAATTTAGTGTATACCTTTTCTAAGTATTCTTTGCTTCTCTGTCCACCTCACCTGCCACACAGCTTCTCTCTTTCCTTTACTGAACTGCGTGGACAACCTGTCCCAGTGTCCACAGGGTAGGAAACCTGGACTGAGACCCATGCTTGGAGGCAGCCTCTCCAGTGATGGCACTCTCAATGATGTAGCTTCAGAATTGAATGTAAGATTACAGTGGTAAATCAATGGCCTTTTAGCTCTGCTCTGCTGTTTAGTGGCGACATTTTTATTTTCTGTCTCTACTTACCTGCACTTTATATCATGTGTGCTGTTCTTTTCTGTTTTTCTTTACATTTATAGCTGATGCAGATGCATTTAAAATCCTCCTGGAGATGAAGCTGAAGAAGAGGCAGAAAAGGCCTGCTTTACCAAACACTGTGACTGAGCTTAATACTGAGGATGGTTCTAAAGTGTATGTGGTTGGAACAGCCCACTTCAGTGACAGCAGCAAAAAGGATGTAGTAAAGGTAAATACTCAGTGTGAGTCCTTCAGCAGCATCTTTATAATTTAGCACTAAGTAGAATGAAGTCCAGCTCTCTAACTTGGTTTGTGCTGTAACCTTCAGGCTCTGGTTTTTGTAATTGGCTGTTGGAGGGCTAACAGCACTGTGGGATGAGAAGCAGACATTTACAGTAATCATTTTTCATGCAATACATTGGTCTCCCAGCTCAAATATTTTTATTTGCCCTTCAATAAAAAAGGCAGATACAGCATCAGTGTTGAAAGTAGAAATCTCACTAGTGAAGCTTACAGTGCCTGGATAGTATTTGGCTATGAAACCATCCTGCACAACAATTGGATTCCATTCTCAAGCTGCAAATAGGTCTGAAGTCCTAGTGCAAGTAGGAACTATTTCATATGGTACCTCCTGCAAACTCTGCAGTTTAGAGTGCCTTTATTCAGGAGGTAGAGGGGGAGAAATCTTGTAAGAAGCGGGGTTGCAGGGTTGACAGTTCTGGCACAAAGTGTATTCTGTCTCAGATGGAAAAATACCACAGAAAACAGTCAAATTAATTTTGTGAATGTGAAGAGTTTAACCTGAAGTGTTTCTTCCCTGCTCCCCTCCCCAGCACAGTATGTTCACCATTATCCTGTTCTAAAGCATCCAGTAACTAAGACATTTTGCTGTCACCTTCCTTAATATTTTTGTCAATGCATAGTTATTTGGAGAACTCTTATTTACTATTCTACTTTTTATTTAAAATTATTATTGGAATGTGATTTTAATGTCCTGTCTCTCTTTAAAATGTTGATATTGGCTGCATTTCTGTTTATTCCTTTCTAAAGCAGTATAAATAAATTCATCTTTTTCAGACAATACAAGAAGTGCAGCCTGATGTAGTTGTGGTGGAACTGTGCCAGTACAGAGTTTCTATGTTAAAAATGGATGAAAAGACATTACTAAAAGAAGCCAAAGAAATAAATCTGGAAAAACTTCAACAAGCTATAAAACAGGTATGATTCCTACAGTGAGAATTAAAGGTTTGTGTTGAGAACAATTTGTCAGATTGCAATCAAAACCAGTGTTCCCACCAGCTGGGAACCTAACACTGTTGATGTAGGTGAGAGTACTATTAGAGTGGCAAATCTAGGTTTGGGTGTTATTTCTGTTTTCAGATGGAGCATTGAGGGCTTTCTTTTCACAAGGGGATTGGTTGGGCAAATTGTTGACCTTGACAGGAGTCCTCCTGCATTTAACAGCTGCTCCATTTGCAGGACACAAGTCTAACTTTGCAACTGCAATGCTCTGCTAATATATTTAAATGGGATTATTATTCCTGCAATCTGCATCTGTATCACAACTATTAAAGAGCACTTAATTTTGGTATTTTCTCTTTAGCTGCATTCCTTCTTCGACCTAGCGTATTGCTCTTTAATTCCTACCTATCCACTTGTCTTTGGAGTAGTTTGTAATTGACAGTAGGCCCTAGAGGAAAAATTTGGGCTAAAAAGTGTGGGATTCTCTTCAAATTATAACTACTTGGCAGTTTGATGTGGACATGTCTGGATGTTTGTGCAAAAAAAAAAATCCCATATTTTTTCAGTTCCACTTAGCTAGCTTGTATTTGAGTGATTTTAAGCTAGGCACAGTGCAGCAACACAAAGTTGACTTAAAAATGTCAGGACACTTGATTAGAATGGCAGTGCTTGATCAGTAGTAAAGAGTTTGCGTGTCCAGTTGGATGAAGAAGTTTGTAGATTGTTATTTTGATTGTATGGTATGTATATTGGAATTGCTTTATTGATGTAATTGGGGGATTTCCAGGAGTGTACCCTCCCCTCACAGGAGTGTAATCTGCATGCATGCAGAAGCCCTTGCAGTGGCTCAGGGCTATGCAGTGCTCACACAGGGTCTCAGAGCTGGCTTTCTGACTCACTGAGGGTGGCAATAATGTCTTTCCTGTTTTCTTTGTTTATGCCCTGTCAAAGGAAAAGACACTGCAAAACACTTGCATGTTGCATGAATTGTTGCATCTATCTATCTTAGGTAAGGTGGATTATTCTGATGCATGTTGCCAAAATGCATGTGTCCAACAACTGGAACAGAATAGCTGGGGGTCTTCTGACCTTGTGAACAGGCACAGAAACTTTTTTTCTTTATGTCAAAGCTTAATGCAAAAGTTTATGTTGTGTAAAGAGGAAAAGGACAATGAAAACAAAATAGCAGACTTTTTTTCTCTGTGATGTAAAGTCAGGTTGGCAACTTTGCAGTTACCACTTCCTACCAGGGCTTGAAGTGATCTTGCATGCAGACAGTAGAAAATACAGATTCTATTAGCTCCAAAGCCACAGAACACTGCAAAGATCCTTCCTGTTCTTATAGCTCAGTATTGGTCTCCTTTCCTTTATTTGCAGGAATAATGCAAATAATAAAATTTTAACACTGGACCTTTTAAAGAATGTATTTCTCTATCTATGGTCTCAACCAAAAAATTCCCCAACCTTTTCCCTTTGAATCACTAACAGTATAGATTATATAGGGAAAACCAGGAAGAACAGTCCAACTGTCTCATGCCAAATGATAATGTCTTTGTTTTTCTCTGATAAGCATCAGACCAGTTGGTAAGTTGCTCAGTTATGCCTTAGTTGCCTCCTCTTATTGAAATGAGACAGGCTTAAAAACTACAGTAAAAGTCAAAGCTGCTTTCAACTTTTATCCTTAAGTTTGGAAATGACGGAAAAAAACCCAAATGGTGTCTTTTTATAATCATTTACATTAAATATTAAGCACTAAAATTGGATTTCATTGCTCTTAATTGAAACTGGAAATTGAGCAGAATGTTGACTTGAAACATACATATTTGCAATGGATCATTGGCATCCACAGCTTGTCACGTAACTGCTGCAGGTTAAAACCAGACTTCCTTTAGCTCCTCCTTGAATTTCAAAACCCTTACAGTTGTTTGCAGAGAAGTACCTGTTTGCTTTCCATTAAGCAAAGCAACATGGGGCAGGCTGGTATCTGGCTCAAATGTGGATAATCAGGAGATGTGCAGTACCAGTTGGCTCAAACCAAACCGATAAGACAGGTTTTTTTCTTACCTTCTCCCTGGCTTCCTGCACTATCCCTTCTGTGTCCATACCACAGAACTGTTTAAACATTAAGTTATTCAGACACTTGCTTCAGGCACACAGAGTAAATACAGACTGAAATAAATCTGACTATCCTCCTTTATTTTCTTAACCTGTACACAATCAAAATGTACAAAAACTTGTACATTTTTGTTGCAAGGCAGAATACTTTGGCCACACAGTGAGGTAAACTGATAAAAACTGACATATGGGCTGTATTGATCAGTGCAATTGGCCCCAAAATGTAGCTTCAGTGCTGTTTCTTCATTAAAATAATTAATGAGATTTTTTCATTTCTGTGAACAGTGCATTCTTCAGCCTGTTTTTTTAACATGTTTTTCTCCCTCTTCTGCCAGAATGGAGTCATGTCTGGATTGATGCAAATGCTGCTTCTGAAGGTTTCTGCTCACATCACAGAGCAGCTGGGAATGGCCCCAGGAGGAGAATTCAGGGAGGCTTTCAAAGAGGTGAGAACTTGAGATGCCTTTTCTGAGGTCAGATTAGTGGCCTTTTGCTTCCAGAGCTGAACTCAATAAAACCATTTTGCTATTGCCTAGAAAAGAGCACTCTGGCCATACCTCTGCTGAAGCCAATGAAGTAGTAAAAATAATTTTTGACTTCAAGCTGTACTTTAAGGTACAAAGATTTGTAGACATAAGTGGTAGGAAAGCAATTCAAACAAGGCATTTTCCTGATGATATTTCTGAAGACATTTGTTTTCATTAATGATTTAGTTTCTTTTATATAATTATTTTTGAATTCTCAGTATTGATCTTGGTCCCATTGTTTGGTGGTGTCAGACTTTCAGGCTGTGAAAAGCAGCTCTAAAGGATTAATGAGTTCTGAAATGTTCCATTCATCTACAAAGATTGGGGAAGTCAAATATCTGACTGATCTGTTGGTCCTGTATGGTCTTTTAATGTCACCTTTTGAACTACTGCCAGCAGTGATACTGGAATTAAACAGTAGCTGTGTTTTACACTACTCTTATTTTTTTGTCTGGGAATACTGAGACACTATTTTCTGTATGTGCATCCGTCTTGCAGAATGTATCTTGCTATTTTAATGTAAATTATGCACTAGTAAGGAAATCTGAGAGACATTGCTGATAAATAATCTGGAATCATTTGTTATATTAATCCTTAATAAAAAGAAAACTTCTTCAAGGTTTATTTTCTTGAGCATTCTAGACCAGAATGAAACATTTTAGGTGTTTCCTATTTTAAGCAGGAAAGAAAAAAAAATAGCTCTGTCCTATTCTGAAATGATTGCTGGAAATTTTTAAACAACTATCCATAGAAAAGAGTTTTCTAGAAATTCCATACTGTGCTAAAATATGTCAGGGTGAGCTACAGCCAAGTCTCCCATTATCATGTGATATCTGGCATCAGTTATTGTCTCATAAGCTCTTTCTTTAATATCTTTTACCATGACCAAATGTAAGGTTGATGATCCTGACAAATCCTAGGGGAAAGCAAAATGATGATACCAGTGATGGTTCACCTCAGACTTTATTCAGGCCCAGATAGATATTGAGCCACACTGTCATCTTATATAGTAAATATTCAGAAGCTTTGTGCTTCAGTACAAGTAACCTCAAGGGTGTGGCATTACAATTTAATGGAATACCAACTGCATTGTGTAGTGGATTTATTCCTTTATGAAGTAATGTAGTAGTATTTTGTAAATTTTACTTATTGTAAAGCCAAAATATTTTTTTATGTTGAAGTATGAAATATCTTGCTCTTTAAGATACCTTGTATAACTCAGTAAATCCTTACTGTTCATTAATAAGAATGTTCTGTGCTGCAGTATGAAATGCTGACTGGTTATTTATATCTTCCCTTTCAGGCCAGTAAAGTACCTTTCTGTAAATTCCACCTTGGTGACCGGCCCATCCCTGTTACATTTAAGAGAGCAATTGCTGCACTTTCCTTCTGGCAAAAAGTCAAGCTTGCCTGGGGCCTTTGCTTCTTATCTGACCCCATCAGGTACGAATAAGCACCCCATATGTTTTATGTTTGGGGTGGATTATTCAATTCTTCAGTTTGACTTTAGTATGAGGGTACCCAGCCTGATACAATGAAATTTGAAGTTAGTGAGAGGGATGAATATACCAGCTATCCTGCAATAATATGTATTTTTGAAGTGAAAGCTGTCTTTCTGATCTTGTCAGGTCTTTCTTTGTCTTTCAATGGATTACTTCCAGGTGAAATGTAAGATTTGATGCTGAAGAATTTCTAGTATGATTTAAAAATTTCTTTAAATTATTATTTTATTATGCAAAAAAATGAAATCTTTCTCACTACTGTGTGGGGATATTGTAAATAAGAGAGTAAAGGCTTCAGTGCAATAATTTGTATATTCTTAAGAGTTCCACATTCAGTCATTAACATGAGATTGGATGGAAAATGAAGTAATAATTCAACATCAAAATTGTCAGTCTGTTGATGTTTCTGGGTCTGTTGAAAGCTAGCATTTCTCCTTTAGCTTGCCCTGCTGACATTTGTAGTGTCCTTTTCATCTTGGAAACTAAAGGAAGCCTGTTTGACGTCATTCTTTGATAGACAGTGATGCTAAACAAGATAATGTCATTGCCACAAGCTATGACCCAAAGCTGGGGGTGCTAACAGAAGGGTTTATAGCATCTATGAAAAGAATAAAAGCTCATTACATTTACTCCTGCAGTTCCTTTTTTGCATTTCCTGCCCGTTTGCTATTTTTCTGTTCTGCAAATTGGTTTATAAATTTCACGGCCCTGTGATTGACACTGGGAACCTGCAGATCTTTCTCCATGCCCTCAGACTGTGCATTACAGTGTGCCTTTTTCATTCCTTAAGTAGAGTATCTGTGTGTTCAGTGATCAGATCTGCTTCCTCAGAAGCGCTGTGTGTAGGCTCTTCTAAGCTTATTGATGCACACTGAAAATGGGGCACCACGGTAACTCCGGCCTTTGAAGCCCTAGTGGTTTTGCTGACTTGAGTTGCCAGCTTTTAAAGTGGGAAAGGAGAAAATCCAGTTGAACTGGCTAAAGGCAAGTGACCTCTTTTCTTTCCCTTTCCTTCACTGCAAAGGCATTGTTAGGTATCAAGTTCTACAGGTTTATGGAGATTATTTTCCTTCTGGAGAGGAAAGCTGGGGGAAGAGAACTGCAGACTGTGTTTAGTTGTAACACCCAATTGTTTTGATTCATTAGTTTCTCTATGCTGACCTTTAAAAGCGTAATAGATACTGAGAAAACTTACCTTTCTTTCAGTAAAGATGATGTGGAGAAATGCAAACAGAAGGATTTACTGGAACAGATGATGGCAGAAATGATTGGAGAATTCCCTGATCTTCATCGAACGATTGTCTCCGAACGAGATATTTACTTGACCTACATGCTGAAGCAAGCAGCAAAGCAGATAGAACTACCTCGAGCTTCAGAAAGTAATTGTTTTAAAGCAGAGATTATAACCAGCAAGGTGTTCTTTGTGTACTGGTACAAAGTTCAGTTCTCAGGAAATCTGGGATGTTCAGTTCGTGAATGCCACATGTCACATAAGATACAATGCTTAAAAAAATTTAAAAGGGCTTCTGTTGAAACCACCTAGAGCAGTAGACTCTAAATTATGTTTCCTTTCTCATTGTGCTATTTAAAACTGGTAAGTTTTTAGCTTTTAGCCAGACAGCCATTTCAAAAGGCAGGGATCTGGTATGACAGCACAGTATGGGATTGTCATCTATCTTGCTTGTCCCATTTTCTCACCAAATTCATTGTTGTCACTGGCTGCTGAGGGTCTCATTTCTTGATAAGTTAATTCTCTAATTTCAGTACTCTTCATAGGTTTTTTTTATAATTGTAAATTGGCCTGCTAGGAACTTTGATGATCTGGCAGTAATAATCATATGTGACTGCTATTTCAGCAATGTATAGGCATATAGAAAAATAGTACTTGACTAATCTTTGGAAGTATTCTGCTGCCATATGCAATTGGCATGCCCTTCCTATAGATAAGCATACATAGATAAACATACTTAATATCTTAAGAAGATAGTGTTTGTTCTGCACTTTAGTGCAGAACTGTTGTTGTTGCAGTTCTGCTTTAGAGCAACTCTAAAATAGACTGAGAAAAAGAAAACTTAGAAAAACTAATTTGGTAAATATGTATAATAGTTCTAGTGTTTTCAATACAGATTTGTTCCACTTTGAAGTGGGCTGTTCTTCACGTTTACTTTTTTTCCTGGAAAAATCAAGGGTGAATATTTAAAGCAAAACAGTAGAACTTGTATTTTATATTTATATATTATGTAGAATTTTCCTCATAGGAAAGCAGCCTGATCATTATTCCTTAGAAAGTTTTTTGTGAGTTATTTTATTGTGGCACAGTGCTATATTTCTCATTGGGGAAAACTTCCAGAAACTGCATTTTGGGTGTTATGAAATATGGATGGTAGATGGGAGGTGAGGGTGAGAGCTGGCACATGTTGCATTGGTCTGATGGTTGCTGGCTAACTGCTGGATGTCTCTGGCCTGGGTTTGCAGTTGCTGAGGCCAGGTCTCTAACAGAGAGCCTCAGAGGAGCAGGTGTGGTCTCAAGCATTGTTCTCTGATTGTGAGCCCAAGTCTTGTTACACTTTGTGTGCCAAGTGCTGCTGCCCAAAGTGGCGGAGAAAGTTCTCTGTTCAGGAGACAGCAAAGACCAGAGATGTTCCTCTTGAGCAGCACAGAAACATGACCTACACAGAGAAGGAAAGAAGTTAATTTAGCTTGCATCTGCTGAGCCTGTCACCCTGAGGCTGAAGTATGAGCACTGGCTAGGTCTATTTATTAATTAAATGGTTCCTGAAAATCCAGAAACCATGCTGACTTTTTCAGAGTTTCAATGAAAGAGGCAGTAGGTGAGATCAGTGTGCAACAACGGGGTTTCAATATGTGGTAGTGAAAGCCCCTATATCTTGGAAAAATCAATTTTGTAGTCTCACGCATTGGCTACTTCTTTATAGCTTGAAATACAGTTCTTTTACAGATATGTTCCTTTCTCTTCATCTTTCTTTTCTCAGATGAACCTAGAAAATATATCCCAGCTGTTGTAGTTGGTGTTGTTGGCATGGGTCATGTACCTGGGATTGAAAAGAACTGGAATTCTGACTTAAAGATCCAGGAAATAATGAGGTAACAGTTGTGCTTTCCTACATGTTGGTATAACAGCTCCTTTTGCTAAAAATCTGAAGTTTCTTTGTAGTTTTTTTGGTTGATTGTCACAGCTTGAAGGAGCATCTCTGCTGTCCTCCTGGCCTGTCAGCTTGCTGACTTGCTATGCAGTGCTTGCAGATTGTGCTGACAGCAAAGAAAAAATCACAGGAAAAAAAAAGTTGAATATGGAGGGAAGTAGAGATGAGAATATGCCCTTGCCTGGACAGAAAATTAATTTAAGTCTTCTAAAATGAAATTCAAATGAGGGCTGTTAAAGATGGTGAAAACAGAACAAGGGTTTTAGTCTAACTTAGGTAAATGTAAATCACTGGATTTAAAGCTTTTGTTTTGTCAGGACACTGCTGGTTCTGGCAAGCTTAGTGTTGTAGTTGCTTGTACCCTAGTTTAAGTGTATATCTAAGTAATGCCTTGTTTTAATGTGTATACCTAACTAATTATGAGCTGGTTCAAGCCATGTACCTTGTGAACTCTTGCTTCAAAGTACCTATTAAAATAGACATATATGCTTTGTAAAAGACAGAATTGAAGAACCAAAGCATTCAGACTATGTGTATCCCATAAAGCCACAAAGGTCAGGACTTCAGAAATACAGGAGAGATTATAATACAACCCAGTAGTATTTGTCTGTGGGGCTTTAGGATTATGGAGTCTTTCAGAAATTCACACTTCCTTTATCACACCTGTTTATTGTGTTAATGTAACCACCTCACCCATCTCTTCAGAGGCTATGAAAACCAGAAAAGACTGACATCCACATAAATGTTATATTTAGACATCTAAAATATGATTTAGAGAGACTTTTGTTTCTGGATTCAAGAATGCAAAGTATAGAAGCTCTGCCTAGCCATTTCTAACTCTCTTTCCAGGCTAAGCCTCCCCTGGAGTCACAGACTGGATGTCCATTTTCTTCTGCACCCTCACAAATAACCTGTGTAGTTGTGTGGTGGCTGTTGGTTATATCATTGACAGCACAGAACTGAACAGCCCAAAGACCAAGTGCACGTCTTCAAGCCTACACAGAAAGTCTTTCTCATCAAAGTTTAGGCTCTGACTTGATTGTCTTTACCATGCCAGTGCCATAACTGAGCAGAAGAGTTACTAGTATCTTACACAAGGCATTAATATTGCATTAACTTGATTTTCTGAAATAATTTGAAGCAAATGACATTCATAAGAGTGATATATTTGCAAATTATTTTTCTTTCAACGTTTTTGCCCTTCCTGCTGTTACACTGCAGTTGCAGAGCAGAGTTAGGGCTTTCTTTTGTGTGTTTAGTGTTCATCACCGCTCTAAGATGGCAAGTTTTTAAGATTTTCTCAGATATTTAGTTAAGTTTTAGAAGTTGGAACATGAACTTGAAGATTCTCTGGATAAAAGCATACATATATTTCTAATTTTTAAGTTCATGCATTGAACCTGACTCCAAGCAGACCTCACTGTCTGCCACAGAATATTTTGAGTGGGAAGGGATGTACAAGGATCATCGAGTCCAGCTCCTAAGTGAATGGCCCATACAGGGATTGAATCCATGACCGGGGCATTATTAGCAATGTGCTCTGATCAGCTGTTATTAATTGGTTTTTTAAAATTGTGGTGAGGTATTAGAATTGAGAGAGAGTAGGTGGAGAAAGGTAAAAGAACATACAAAGAGATGCCTTTACACCATTCTTGGATCAATACATACACTTCTTTAAAACTCTCCTCTGTGTTGCTGTAATGTGCAAAGTCTTACCAGTGGTAAGTTTTCCCTAGTTTGAGCACATGGATCTAAACTCAGTCTAGTTGTATCCTTATCTCAGCACATTTAACCTGGTTTGAGAGCATCCAGTGTTTTTGGACTATTGTAGCTGATTACTTCTGAGTACATTAGAAACTTTTTCTGGATATAAATAAATGATGACTTGAGGCTCCTCTGAAAGTTAATGGAAACCTCTGAGTTGCCTGTGAGAGGATTATGAGTTGCTGTGGGTGCAGAACCTGTTAGTGAGAATACAGGGGTGCACTTGCATGTGGCTGTGCTCTCAAAGTCAACTTTATTGGGAAGGTAATATTAACTGTTTGCTTCATATGCCCACAGTGAGACTGCTTGAATGTTAGGGGGCAGACCTGGTGTGCCTGTTGTCCTCTGCCCTCCTGGTTCAGGTGGCCAGTGCAGAGGCTTCCAAGGAGCTCTGTGAAAATCTCAATATTTTCTTTTAGTATTCTTCAGAAAGTCTGAATATTGACTTAATTATTTTAACAGGGTGATGGACAAGTAAAGGTTCCTAGCCATGAAGAGTGGCATAAGTAGAAAGGACTTTGTTAGTGTTTATTGATTTTTATTGTTATTTAATTGTATGTAGCCCTTGAATGTGAAAGAATACATTGTTCATTCATGATGCATCTGTTACGTGAAAATTTCCTTCACTGGGAAGGAAGGGGAGAAAAAAATCCCTTTTCTTTCTTTTAATTGGAAAATGCCTACTGTTTCCAGCTATGCAAATATTAATATTGTTTTCTGTCTTTTGTTTCAGTGTGCCTCCTCCATCAGCTTCAAGTAAGATTTTCAAATTTGTTTTAAAAGCAACAGTGTTTGGACTGCTGGGATACAGCTGCTACCGAATAGGTCACAGGACAGTTCAGTTTGTTCTCTCAATGCCAGCGACACAGAGCTATCTCCAGAGGCTGACTGAGATGCCTCAGCAGTGAACAAGCAGTAGAGGCTCTCTGTGAAGAAGGTGGCTGAGGAAAGGGCGATGGAGGCAATGCATGAACTGGACTGAAGGATGAGGATTCTAGTCAGACCTGATTGATGCTGAGCAACACTCAATCACTATATAATAAAAGATTTGGTACTGAAGTTACACCAGCTATGATCTAATTAATAGTTTTGATTCTTGATAGGTGTGTTGCATGAAACCAGATGATTCCAGATTGAGGTAAAAGAAATGTGTATCCAAATATATATATATATGTTATATATGCATACTATATACATGTACACTATATATATGCATTGTATATAATATATATATATATAAAACTGATGATGTAGTACAGGCAGCTTAAAGGGTGTGTGTTCATGGCTCCTTTTCCAGAGGAAAGAACAACACAAAGTATCCTAATCAGCTGCATCTCCTCTGAAGTTCAGGGACACTTGAGTGATTCTTTGCTTTTTTCTTAGGTATAATAATACCAAGTGTTTGTTTCTGGTGCCAGACACTTTTACACATAATTTAAAGGACATCTTCTCAATGTGTGTTTTATACCTAAAACATTTAGGCTTTTTTTAAACTTAAGAGCTTTCCAGAAATTTCAGAATTGTACAGGCTGTCATACGTACACGGCTCAAATTTTTTACAAGCCTTACTGAAGAACAGGAATGTTGCCTTTAGATTGCATCCCTTGTTACCACCACCAGTTGAATTGTCTTTCTCCTGCATAGAGAAGGTGTAGCCACCCCGTCAGAATGCAATGTGGTTTGTGTCAGATGTTTACAGGACACTCTGTTCCTTTAGATTAGCTTATTTAAACTATTATTTAGCCAAATCCTGCTGGTTCCAGTATTGTAAATTTAAGAGACTAGAACTACTGTACAATTTACTTTTGTTTCTCAGACCTTTCATATTTGGCATAAAAAGCCTGGAATTAACCTGCCCCTTGTTTTTGCTACATGAATATACTTTATTTATCAATGTAATTTCTTGGTGGATGAATATTTTAATCTATTTAATAGGAAAGCAGTGTTCAATTTAGTTTTTCAACCAAATGTAGCATTTTATTTGGATTACCTGCTATTTATATGCAGAATTGTGGGTACTACAGACTGCTGTTACTTTCTTTTTTAATTATCTGGAACACTCATCCATCATCAATCTTTCTTTCTTTCTTTCTTTTTTTTTTTTTTTAATCCTAGCTTCATATTTCATTGGAATTTTTTGGTTCCTTCCCTTTTTATAGGATTGTCAGTGATTGTAAAATGCCCTTGGCAATCAGCTAGTCCTGATTCAACAACAGAGATACATTGGGTTAAACTTTGATATGACAATGCTATTTGAGTGGAAAAGTCCCATTTGCTCCTCAGGCTCATACACAGTTGCTCCTTGCTTAAAGTGAGGTTTCTATCTGTATTAGTTTCTTTTGGGAATGAAAGATGGGAACCAATATGTGAGGCAGGAGGAGGAAAAGGTGATGTGTTTTGTGTTTCATTGTGGTTTTTCAGTCTGTTCAATAAAATCCAGAAACCACTTTTAATAGGGTATATTTCCAAAGGCTTGTGTTGGAAATAGTTCCATACAGTCTTTGTTTGCTAAAAGTATGTACATCTGTCTTCTGTACAGTATAGTCTTTTTTGAGCTTTTAAATTTAAGGGCCTGATGCTCCTCTCTGTGATGGCTTTGATATTGCTGGGAGCTGGTCTGTCCATGCAACCTGATGCTTTTCTGGCTTGCTCTTTGAGAACTGTATGAGTTCCAGTGCAGCAAATGATTAAAGTGCATGTTTATCTTAAACCTTACTGAATCTAACCTGATTCTGCAGAGCTCTTAAGGTGATGCTAGGTGCTCTTCTGGGTCTGGGCCTTACAGGTGTCCAGGGAATAAATCTTAGCAAATGAAAATGACAGCAATTCATGCTTCTAGGACACAAAGTAGAAGTGATAATACAGAAAACAGTGAGGGCAGGTCCTTTTATTTTCTGTTTATTAGTGCTTAAGAAACCACCAGCCATCTCTAGCAAGAGGAGAAGCAGTATTTGTAAACAATTTATAGAACAGTAGAGTGACTGCCTAAATTTTGATTCCTGTTTTTTAAAAACATTTAATGTATTGTTTACAATTAAGCAGTACTATCTGAATAATTCTATTACATTTTATGTACATTTTTTAAAAGATGAAAGCAGAAGCTTAAGCTTGCTCTTCTCCTGTCTTCACTGACTTACCAAAATGTTGTTCTGTTGGTTATTTTCTTGAGAATATTTAGCTGGTAGAATTAAATATATGGATATTTTGCTTTAAGTTATCTACAGATTTTTAAAGTATCTGCAGCTATTTTAAAAGTTCTGTAGATCTTTGATATCTGTGCTCAGGTAATTTTACACAAAGGAAAACAAATCTAAGGTAAATTTTAGATAGGAGCCTTAATCTTGGGTGGGACTAATGCTAAATGATTGTCATGGAGCATTCTTGTAGACTTTGTTTTATGCTTTTTAGCCAAAAGTGATTACCATCTAAGGTGTCCATTTGTTATTCAGTTATACTCTCCAGTCAGTACCTTAAGTCTATTGTTTCAATCTTTTTCTTTTTTTGTTTTATTTTATTTTTTTAACAAACCATATCAGCTGATTCTTCAGAGAACTTCTTGGAGAATTTGCAGTTTATCTTCCCACTGTTGCAAATTGGCAGATCATACGCATGCACTGTTTATTCAGTGGCACTGGAAAGTGATGGATTTGCAGAACTAACAATTCTATTAATCCATACACAGATTCTTGATGTTGTGTATTCAATGTGTTGTACTGTTTATATAACATAATCCATGGTTTAGGTCCATTCTTTTCTGTTCTAGTCAGTCCTTTCAGTGTTAGCAGCATCCTGTAAAATTTAAGTATATGTTGAATTGTCCCAGCCCCACCTCAACCTTTTGAAGCCATATTGTATTTTTTTGGTGACATGTACATCTGTTTTATGCATTTGTACATGTGATGTAAATTTGAAGTATTTTTAACAATGTGTGCCTTTAAAGTGATTTAAAGTAAACAGCAGTATGTTCTATTATATAAAAAATAAAATATTTTAACCACCATTTCTGTTGAAGGTATTTATTTTCCTAATTAACCAGTATTTTTATTAAGAGCAAACACTGATTAGCTAGCTCTAGTACAGGATAATTCCACCATCTAACACATTTTCCTGGAGAACATTAGTTGAACTAATTATCTGCTGAGTGTAGTGCTGGAGAGGGGAACGAGTTTCTCCACCTACCCCATGTAACTGGTTAAGAGGAAGAGGATGAGTTTCCCTGCCCTACTGAACACACAGGGAGACTGTCTGCTCAATGTGAGAACCTAAATTCAGAGTTCAGAGTTAGGTATGGTGAGTTGATTTTGTTGTTGTTGCTTTTCATGACTCCAGTGCTCAGTCTTGCAAGGAGCTGACAGCTGGAGTCCCAGTCCAGCAGAGCACTCCAACATTGGCTTTACATCAGGCACAGTCATTTGTACCTAAAGTGCTGTCCTCTGTTTGGGAAATAAAGATCCTTTAAGTGCAAAAGATGTTGAATCATGGCAAAGAGCTTTATCTTTCAAATTGACACAGGTAAATCAATATGACCATTACTTAAAAATATATATATTAATACAAAGACCCTGTATTCATATATATGATAAGCTGTATTCCATACAGATAATGTATCATCTGTGTGTACCCTTTGTCAATCAGTGGTCCATCTTTTTTGTTTGTGTGTAAAGCAAAATGCAGCCCTTTTATCCTTGATCAGGCAAAGTTCCCTCCAGTTGCAATTGGAGCCGTGGCTGCAAAGGATTGCTGGTAAAATCATTTAGGTGGAAGAAAAAACTTTAAATACTGTAGTGCTGTGCTGTCCCTGGGAGTGGCAGAGGACACTGCAAGCAGCTCTGCTCTGGAGCAGTGCTGGCTCAGGCAGCTGCCTGCTTTGGGAGCGTATCCTTCACCAGCATGACATTGCACACTGCTGGCCCACGTCACATTTGAGGTGTCTTTTCTATACCAAATACTGAACAAAATTTAAAAATTTACTTTTTGAAGTGGATTCAAATGTCTTTGTTTCCACTGGAAGCTGTATTTCTGTGTGAATTGTAAAACATCTAAAAAAGAAACATATCAAGTTACCTCTAAGTGCCAGGCAGTGGGAGCTACACGGGGAAAAGAAACATCACGTTGCCACTTGTGTAACTCTTAAGATACTCATGTATGTATTTCCCTATTTCTTTTTAAAACTGAAATAAACTTTAATTTTAGACTTGAGTGTTTTAAGACTGACATTTTTGTAAGATGTGGGAGTTTTTAAGTATTGGCAGGAGAAGGGTCACTCATGTGGGGCTGACTGATGGACAGACTTCAGTAGGGGGCCGAGCCCATGCTGTAGAAAGAGGACACATGGAAGACATCAAGCACAGGACAAAAGTAGCTCCAAAGATATACACACCTGAAATCAGTCTACTGTCTCTTTGGGTGCAAAAATGCACCAGCTGTGTATATCCTCACACCAGCAGGTCTTGTGTGTCCGTGTGTGTATGGGAGGACTCCAGGAACAGCTGAAGCAGCTCTCCTGTTCAGCCGCTCCCAGCTGAAGAAGCTGGCTGAGGGTTGTGTAGTTATCCCCTCCTTCCATCATTTGCCTTGTGCCTGCTGCAGAGAGGAGCTTTCTGTATTCCAGGGAGGCAGCAGCAGCAAAGATGGGACTACCCTTACCCTCACTCCCAGCAGAGAAAAGGCTGGGAGCTGGGAGGTGTCTGCTCTTTACCATCACAAGCCCTTGTCCTTTGAGTCTTGATGCCTGACCTGGCTCTGGCTCCTCCCTGGTAGCTCCCTGCTGGGAGTGACTGTGCTGCAAAGTGAGCAAACACTTACTTTTGCTTGTTGGGTGTTTTGTCTGTTGGTTTGTGTAGGAAAAGCTCTAGTGATGGTAGGGGAAGGGGAAAAATGCACACAGCTACTTTCACTCTTGCCTTAATCCAAGATACTTGTGTATCACAACTAATGCGTGAGGGAAAGTGGAAAAAAATTATCCCAGCTAGGTGACATTATTTCAGTGGTAAGATCAGTCCCTGATTCTGGCTACAGAGATGATTTACAAACTGGACAAAGTAATGAAAAGTGATATTTGATTAGAGCTGGCTGGTTATTACTGTGATGTGTCTCTGCAGCAGCTAAGCTGCACACCTGCTTTCTCCAGGGTCTGCAGAAGAGCTGTGTGGGCAAGCCTGGCAAGGCTGCTCAGGTTTGTACAAGTGCAACAGGGTTCTGGGTGTGCATCACCTGCCACTGGGCAGCTCCTCTCCCTCTCCCTGCTGCCATCACCATGTTGTCTCTCTGTTATGGTTACACCCCAGCTGGAAAGTACAAGTAATAGTAATAATTTAGTGCCATCTACTGTCTGCAAATGGTTTACCTGCTATGTCCGGCTTTGAGTGGAGGCATCCACTAGACCCTTCAGAGAAAGTGTGCGCATCTCGGAGGGGTTTGGTCTTGACCCACCACTGTGGTGGCTGCTGTTAATTGAAATAACATAAAACAGTTAAGTTCTGACTTGTGGCATACATTAGTTTATCTTTTTTCTTCTTGTGGGCTCAGCATCCCCGCGACCGGCTGGCTGCGCTGCTCCGCCCGGGGAGCAATTTTACCCGCCGGGCCCGGCCGCGCTCTGGGCTCTCCGGAGGGGCTGTCCCACGGCCGGGCTGTCTGTGCCCACGGCCGGGCTGTCCCCACGGCCGGGCTGTCTGTGCCCATGGGCGGGCTGTGCCCACGGCCGGGCTGTCCCCATGGGCGGGACTGGCCGCAGCACCGCCCCCGGCCTGGCCGCATGGCCTCGGTGCTGCGCAGCGCCCGCCGTTTCGGCCCGCGGCTGCTGCGGACGGCGTCGGGCCCGGCCATGCAGCGGCCCGAGGGCGGCGGGGGCTGGCTGGGCGCGCTGCGCTTCGATAACCTGGCTCTGCGCTCGCTGCCCGTGGACGCCTCGGAGGAGAGCGGCCCGCGGCCCGTGCCCGGCGCTTGCTTCGCTCGGGTGCGGCCCAGCCCGCTGCAGAACCCGCGGCTCGTGGCCATGTCGCTGCCGGCCCTGGCGCTGCTGGGGCTGGAGGCGCCCGCGGCCGACCCGGAGGAGGCCGAGGCCGAGGCCGCGCTGTTCTTCAGCGGGAACCGGGTGCCGGCGGGCGCGGAGCCCGCGGCTCACTGCTACTGCGGGCACCAGTTCGGCAGCTTCGCGGGGCAGCTGGGCGACGGCGCCGCCATGTACCTGGGCGAGGTGCTGGGCCCGCGGGG